TACCAGTCCACATTCCATATTGTGGTCCGTAGGACTTGAACCGGCGATCCTCCGGTTCCCAAGCCAAGTAGATAACTTGCAGTCATATTTGCTGAAACTTTCACTATATCCTGACAGTAATACAGGAGACAGATAATCTGCGAAATAATCAGGTTCCTCTGGCTCCTTGTAGTGCTCCTAATGGTATTTGCAAGAATCCACCAGGCCTGAACGAAAACAGCCAATCAGAGCCGAGAAAACTGTTTCCATTCAGGTCCGGATTTTAAAATAAAAAAACAGAGGTTGCAGAGTTTGCATCCCAGAAAATGTAATGTGAGGCATGTAAGAATCAGCTTTCATATATGCCTACAAATAAACATTCACAGAATTCTGGTTTGACTTGCATTAAAAAATGTATGGTTAAAATTTTATCAAATTAATTAACAAAATAAGCACATATTAGGGTTGTGGTGATAGTTTCAGAATAACGCTCCTGATTTTAAGGTGTATTTGATGGTACATATCTTGTATGTTTTGACTCAGATTCCCAGCAGGCTGCTGGTGGCCTTGACAGACAGTATGGCTCAAGGAATAAGATGTCAAATAGAGATGATGAGGATGATGATGACGACAAACCCCCAGAAGGAGGACATGCTAAAGTCAAACGCAGGTAAGTCTGTACTGAGTCTTGGAAGGTTGCTGGTTCGATCCCCAGTTCCTCCCACTGCATGTCGAAGTATCCTTGAGCAAGATACTGAACCCCAAATTGCTCCTGATACTGCGTCATCTGTACATTCTACAAAGTCTGCTCTGTGTTTGGTAAAAAACAGTTTCTCACAATATCTGAAAAAGTTTTGGAAACATTTTCAGAGCTTGAACATTTTAACCAGTCAACCAGGTTCATCAGGCAGTCCTGGCTGCTTGATGATTTCGATGTTACCATATTGTTATTTAGCTTTAGATTTAGTAGATTTAGATTTAGATGTAGGTAACAAACATGTCCTCTTGGAAAATGTTCAAACTATGTTTAAAAAAAAAAACACACTGGTAGTCCTGGTATTTATGAGACTAGCTGCATCGAATTTCGCAGAAAATGAAGGGTGTGACAATCTTCTAATAGTCAACTAATAGATATGGCATCCTCATGTAGCTGATTTTTTACCAGAACGGAAATTAATCATACACACTCATACACTGATGCAATTTGGGGTTAAGTGTCTTGCTCAAACACACTTCGACATGCAGCAAGAGGAGCCGGGGAGAAAAGAAAGAGGTTTAAATCTTAAAGCAGTATTTTCTGTTTGTCTGCAGTCACGAGCTGGATGTGGAGGAGAGCCCAAATCTGACCCCTGAGGAAGCTTGGAGTAAACTAGGACTCAAACGCAACCCAGAGCCTCTGTAAGTCTGATCAGTTAAAGCTGCTGCTGTCCCACCCCAGTGTCCACGGGATCCAGTTGGTCTACAGCTCCTCTTAGCGTTAACTGGAAGTATGTTAGAAATGGAGCATCCTCTAGCAGTCTGTTGTTCACCAGACACATTTTTATATAACTTACAGTTGTTTTATAGCATGTCAGGTCAGTGAGACCAAGTGTGAACCTATCCTGACATCACCCACTGGTTTGTGGAGTACTGCATTATAGCCGTCACCGTGTTTGTTTTGGTGCCAGCGGACAGCATACTGTGAGTTGAGCTGCTCTCATTGGCTGTGCAGTTTCAACTCGTCCATAGCAGGAAACACACTTCACCTGGTCACACACAATCTCATATTCCAGACAAACAGTACACTAAAATATGTTTCTGAACAGATTT